GAATGCCGATTCAGAGATAAGGTTAAAATGCCACAATGAAATTCTTACATTTATTATTCATTTCTTGGCTGGCAAGCAATTGCCTACCTTTATACTTCAGTGGTTTCAAATGGAAACTGCAGAATGTGAACGGGCAGGCTGTGCCAAGGAGCAAGTCTTGCTCAGCCCTTCCTCCGAGTTAAATCAAATGCGATGATTCTAAATTGCTTGCAGTTTTGGCCTAACACACCCACTACTGAGTTTTGATGTTGATTTTTAAGGAAACAAACCCATTTTCAGCAGTTTTTAGGAGTAAGTGAAAACAAAACTTCATTTCCACCCTGTCTGAGCTCTCTTCTAGAGACTATGTTATTGATACAGCTAACAACTCCTTTGCAACTTCTTATAAGTAAATGATGAATTACCTGCAAGTGACAAAAGAAGAGAACGAATCCCAGCCTGAGAGCTCTGTGCACAAATATCTTCTTTGGGGATCTCCCTCTCTGACTCAAATCAGAAGAAGCAGTGGTACTACACCTTAGCACCTTAGTCTTCACAGAAAAACAGATTTCATGTACATTCAACTTCTAGCTGTGGCAAATTATAATGACCAGTGACGGACTGAACTCTGCCAGGAAACTCGTGCATTCAAGCCAGCATAAAGAGATACTTTACAGCAGCTGAGTCCAGACTCTGATTGCTTTCCCCTCTCCTCCCTTCAACCCCATAAGGAAGAGTCCTGGGGTTGGATGGAGAAAGGTGGTTTCTGAGTATGCCTCCCTGCCCACATCCAGCCACATGAATAGGACAGTGAATAACCCACCAGGGATATACCTGGAATATAATATTATATATATAATGGAATTCCTTTTATTCCATTACGTTTATCCTTCAGGTAACGCAGAAAAGCCTAATCAAAGTTCAATGGCTGCAGCAACACAGAAAATCCCTGCTTTTTAAAACCCAAGACTCAACAGACTACATTAACATGATTTTTGGTTCTATTTTTAGCACGTAGCATTTAAGCATTTTGACAGAAAACGGGCACTTTTCTGTAGCAGAACAGAATTTTTTCAAACCAGTGTTTGGTTGGGGACTTTTTGTTTGCTAGCCCTATAAAGAGAAGCAGCCTAACAGCACACTACCATGTTGTCAGCACCCAGTGGTCCACCAGCCATCCCCTTCTGTTCACTACTAGGTTGAAACATGAACATTTTACAGATATTAACAGTGACTTGGCACATCAGATGCAGTACCATTTCTATGTTAGCCCCATGCTGACTCTTACGTTACTTGCTATTTTTCAATTAGACATTTCGATTTAGGTAAGTCATGTATATTTGTCTATAAGGAGCATTTGGCTAGACAGCAATACTGTGAGTAAAAAGGCCACAGTGATGATAACACACATCTGTTATACTGATATATTTCAGTTAAACACTGTGTGGTTTGGCCAAAAAGGTTATAATAGCACGGACAGTCTTTTTAATTCAGATGAAATGGCAAGCTGCTTTAAAATCAAGAGATTTTGAAAAAAACAACCCTGATTCCACACATCGAGTATATTTGTTTATATTGATACTGGAATGAAATCTACTTCATGATAGAGAAAAGACAGTCTCTAAGAAACATGTTTCCTAAATGAATTAAGAAAAAATCTGCTGCCCCTTCACTGCAATTGAAAGGCCACTGCTCTTCTCAAGGAGTTTTATGTTAACACACAACATTGGTTTGCAAACACATCCTAGGTAAGGATTTCTACATCAAGACTGAGGGTGGAGATCCAGGTCTGGGTTCCTCATATCCAACTTTCAGCTGCTGTCCTTGCAAGCTTTCAGCCACTATTACCAAAAACAATTTGCACAACTGTACAAGATTTCCACTTTGTTGAGTCTGGAAATAATTTGGAAAAACTGGAATTCAGAAATCTGGAAATAAATTCAGAACATATTCTGCATAGTGGGATGGAGCTACACTTGACATTAAATGAAATTAAAAGGACATAAAAGGTAGTTCATAGCTGAGCTTCTGGAAAACATGCCTTTCTTCTGAAGAGATAGGATTAAATTTTAAAAGATGTGCCTGCCACGTTTGCTTAGCAACAAAAAAATCAATTTGAAAAAGTGGGGTCTTTTTCTGTAAGAAGTTAGGTTTTCTTAACCTCACCCAGATTTTATCAATGTGGGCCATCAGTATTCTAGTCTCTATTAATGTGTGAAAAAAATTCTTAAAACCCTTAAGCTATCCATTAAAAAATAAGAGAAAAAAAATGTGCTATGTGTCATAATTTGTTTGGGGCAGTCTGTGTTTTTTTCACAGCAACTAATTTCCCATTTTAAGCTGCGTGAAATACATCTTACAGTTGTTTCTCACCCCAAGCCAAGGCAAGTAATGTTTGTTTAGGGGTTTTGGTTTTTGCTTTTAAGCTACCACTTTTTCTTTTCCTGTATATTAAAACACCACTTAATCTGTTTCCTGCAGTATAAACACTTTTAACCAGTAGACAGCAATCTTTCACTTATGCCTTAATTAGCAGTCACACAGTACATGTGCTCAGGGTATTTCTAATGTCTTAAGCTGCCAAAGCCAATGTCGACTTTAGCAGGTTTATCTGCTGGTTGTTAAATGCAGGCAATCAGCTCAATAACGCCGCACATTCCTGCCTTTTAATACCTTCCAGTTACCATCCCATTTCTGTCAGGTTCTTTACATTATTTTATTTTTGCCCTGTCAATCTTTATTTAGCTCTGCCAGGAGCTCTGAGGACAATGTGCTCATTTCCTTCTGCAGCACCTGAACTCTGCCTGACCACTACCATTTGCTAGGGACAATAATGTGTGGGCTTCACTTGATGTTAAGGAATTAGAAATGGAAATTCAAGAAGCAGCAGGAAAAGGGGGTCAAATCCATGTGGCCACCAGCACAGATGGGGGTCACAAGGGCTCCTAAGTTGTCTCAGCAGTGTAATATCTGTGAGGCTATGACTAATGCTCATTAAACAACTCCTACTTATGGCTAGAACTAACAAAATAAAGGAAGTCTTATATCACTGAAGCAAAGGTGCTGGAGCTTAAAGGCCTGGAGAATCACGTAAAGCTTAAGCACCATGCCAATGCTTGGCTAAAATTTTCCATGGCTGCTGCTTTCAATTCGCGGGGTTGCTGTCGCTCGAAATTTTAATGAGACTTCCACAATATTTGGTACTGCTTCTAAATCCCGCTTCTTGGTGCCAGATTTACTCCTTTTTAATGCAGTGGAAATACATATCCCCAGTCAAGCTCTGTCAGCTGTGGTGCAAAGTGTGCATCCTACTAGCACAAAAAGCAGCATACAAATCAGAAAACTCTGTGTCTCGATGCCTTATTCCCGAGTATGTGGAATGGGCAATACTGAATTTAGGCCTCTCAGTGGCAGCAGCAACAGGGAAGTGCTGGCAAGGGCAGCCACCTGCCAGCATGTTACGCACCGTGGGCCAGAAGCAGCAACAGGCTCTGTTGGTCAAAAGCTTTGGTTTGTAACTTCAAGGTGCCTCAGTCTCCTAAGCAGGTTGTTTCACACATCTGAGCACCCCACAAAACAACTTGCTGTGCAACTGAGGTCGAGCTCTGGGACTGCTGCAGCCACAGTCAGTAGGCCTCAGAGACCAGGAGCTCAGCCTAGTGGCCTTCCCTGCCCACCGGCCACCACTTGCCCCTTGCAAAACGTGCGTCATGTTCCTCCCTACTTCTTTCACCAGAGTGACTCAGCGATACTGGAAGTCAAATACAGCAATTGCTTAATCACTTTCAGCGGGAAATAAGGAATGACTCCCATCTGAGCTGAAACTGCAGAAGAAACATGGACCAGACAGAACGTGACTACCCCGGCTGAATCCCAGCCAAGACACTCGGGTGTCTACACTGCTGCAAGAAGTGCTGCAAAGGTTTTAGTGGCCAAGTGCTTTCAGCGGTTCATGTTTGTAGTCTTCAAACAGTATCACTTACTTGGCCAGTTCAACAGCAACATCCTTCAACAGAAAGTGTCATTTCATGCTGCTGGGAAACAGCCCCGTTATGACAAGGGAGCACCTTTCAAAAGAGAATCTGTCATAATTGGAACAGTTTTTAATAAATTGCTAGGGAACTGTCTCTCAGATTAAATTTTTATCTGAGACAAAATCTCACCTATAAATATGCAATAAAAAAGGTAAGCATATTCTTTTTCTTTTTTTAGAAGAATTCTGGTTAGCTTTGAAACACTGAAACATAAAAAAGAAAGTATTATTTTTAGACTGGGATATTCTGTCCCATTGAGAAGACCCACAGAGTTGACAGCATCTCCAAAGACTTGCAAAACCCAGCTACAGCTATCACAGTTACTGTCAACTGTGCAACCAAAGAGCAGTATAGGAATGATCTGGGAAACTGCCTTTCCTGGCAAGCTACAGAATAAGCCTCATAAATCTCTTTTCCTTTCGACAGAGCTCTATTGCTTCCCTTTCCATTTCAGCTAGATAATAAATTGCACAAATATAGAAAAATCTATGCTAAATGTCATTCAATTCATTCAGTCTTCTGGGAAAAAATGCAGATTCAATTACACCTTCCCTGTACCAACTGTACCACGGTCATTTTTCACCCTCTTCAGGTCAGGAGCCTAGTCAAACATCTGTAATAAGCTTGAGTAGCCCCTTTGGAATAAACAGGAGTTTTCAGAGATGTAAAGATGAAGCATATACTCAGGGAGCTTGGA